TTTAAAACTGTCTGCTAGACACGTTTTTATTTTTTTTATTTATTTTATTTTATTTTTTTTTGTCAGCACCTTATCTTTCCTCCCCTTCTTTAGGATTCTCATCATCGAAGCTTCAAAATTTCTAAAGATCTTAATTTTTTTTTTATTTTGTCAATATACAATGTAGTTAGTTATTGTGTCCCATCACCAAGACCTCCCTCCCTCCTCCCTCTCCCCCCTCCCACCCATAGACACGTTTTTAAATCAGTCTTATTTTAAGAAAACACTACAGATGTACGCAAGCTGGTAACTTAGTTTCTAGAGCTGATCTATCTAATTTCTCATTTGTTGATTTTTTAAAAATAATCTTAAAAAATAAATGTGCAAGGAAAGGAAAATGGCTAAAAAGTTTCCAATATTCATACTTTTAAAAATGTCCACTGAGTTACCCGACAATGAAGATTTAAAAAGTCCGAAAGCAGCGATGCTAAGAATCGATATATGTAACCTATTGATATTTGCACAGAAAATCATTAGTTAGCTTGATTTTTAAGTTTTTTATACACTTTGTCTGTGATCAGAGTTTTTCATCACCCCATGAACCTGAGAGGAAAAAATGCACAAACACGATCACAGTTGGTGGAAAATTGTGTGCACTCCGTGCTCTCCTTTTCTCTCCTTTAAGACACATAGACTCCACCTTAAGCAGACAGCGGAGTGGATCAGCTCAGCACAGCAAATTTATCTACGTGCTGAGCACAAGTGTTAAGACACAAAGAGTACCCTTTGGAGAATCATTGAATCCACATTTCAAGACAATTTTCACATTTAGTTTTGTGAGGATTGAGAGAATTTTATTTATAATGAAAACATCAGATTTATGTGGACCTTTTCACAGCCTGAAAGTTCAACATCCTATTCCCAAAAGCCCTTTGTGGTTTAGAGTCCCTTCTTTCCCACTGCACTTTTTCTTTCTGCCAAAGGGATGAATGACTTTTGTTTTTGCAGTGGCATTGTAAATATTTGTTTTACAGTCTGCCGTTGATAAGAGGGATGACCTCTTTCAGTCCTGTGTTAATTTTCATGGCACGGTTTCTGTCCGTGTGATTGGAATTGCCTTCTGGGCCATCGCAGTCATCTGAGGCCCCTAGTGAGAGTCATCTTGGAACTGACTGCACTCCCGAGCTAGGACACGTCCGGGGACCCTGCACAGTACATTGCTTGTGTGTTCGTGCGTGATGTGCAAAGGGGGAATAACTCACTGTGGCATCCACAAAGCTAAAGAACACAGTCTTCTAATCACCTCTTTCTCATTTGGTTACTTAGGTTTGGGGAAAGGGGAGGCCGGGTGGGCCCAGGAGGTGTTTTTAGACTCTGAACCCAGCTCGCACCGCTGACGCGCCTCCTTAGAGGGGACGCAGAGCTCTGAGCCGCTGCTGCCGCTGTCGCTGCGGCTCTACTTGCCCATCTCTGGCACCAGGAAGAGTCTGGAGCCTCCAGAGAGAACCTCACTCAATGTGCTGGGAGCCGCAGCCTTTCAGCAGGGGGGCCTTTTAAATACCCACATCCTTCCCTTGGAGAGACCTAGTTCTGCAATCCAGCCTTACCCTTGGCCTTAAGCTTCCCGGGATTTTTTTGTTTGTTTTTTCTTCATCTTTTGAATACCCAAGCCAGAATAATGAAGAAAACTATATATATACAGTGTGCAGAGCAGAACTACCCACCCTTAGGTAAAAAAAAAAAAAATGTGTTCTAACTCCTGACCTATCCCAGTTTTTCCCAAGCTTGTCCTGAGAAGCTGTGTAATGTCCTGCACCTTCTGCTTTGATCAGGAGCGAAGGGCCCCTCCTCCAGTGCCAAAGAAGCCGGCGAAGGGCCCCGCGCCGCTGATCCGGGAGCGCTCGCTGGAGAGCTCGCAGCGCCAGGAGGCCCGCAAGCGCCTGATGGCCGCCAAGCGCGCCGCGTCCGTCCGCCAGAACTCGGCCACCGAGAGCGCCGAGAGCATCGAGATCTACATCCCCGAGGCGCAGACCCGGCTCTGAGCGCGCCGCCGCCGCCGCCGCCGCCGCCGCGGGCCTGCCTCGCTCCATTTGCAGACTCCGGAGGCAGCGTCCCTCGGAGCAGC